CACACATTCAACTCGCATTTGACATACGGATACGTCAAAGAAATGCGCAGTTCAAGTTCTAATTTGGTCATGGTACGATGATTTTTGACAGAGTTATCCCTCTTGAACTTAGAAAAAAAAAACAAGAAATTTTCATTTTCCGCTCTCTAACTTTAATAGGAAAGTATGTATAAGGTTGGATTTGCATGTGCAGGTATTTTACCAGTAAATACAGGTCAAGTTTGAATTTAGTCGTGGTTCAATGATTTTTGACAGAGTTATCCCACTTGAAGGTAGAAAAAAAAAACAAGATATGTTTGTGAAACAATGATGCCCCCGTATATGGCAACTTATAGCGAAGGTTAAACTTTCTCAAATGCAAATCAAATATGTTGTTGCCCAAAGTAAGGTCTTGTCCCGAGGAATGTACCTGTGAATTATGATATTCCTAGCAGCAACCATTGAAAAGATAAGGAAAAGGTTGAAGTTTTTCGAAAGTAAGTCAAACATCAAGCTAGGTCAAAATTAATGGTGCGCAAAGAAAGTACTTCTCACAAGAAATACACATGTGAAATATGAAAGCCTTGGCACCAACCGTTCAAAGATATGGCCAAGGTTAAAGTTTTTCAAAAGTAGGTCAAACTCCAAGGTCAAAGGGTCAAAGTTGTCAGTATCCAAGGGAAGGATTTGTTTCAAGGATTACATATGTGAAGTTTGAAAGCCCTAGCACCAACTGCTCAAAAGTAATGGCCAAGGTTAAAGTTTTCCAAAAGAAGGTCAAACTCCAAGGTCATGATCAATGGGCAATAATTGTTGGTATCTAAAGGAAGGTCTTGTCATAAGTAATACACATGTGAATAATGAAAGCCCTATTACCAACTGTTCAAAAGTTAGGGCCAAGGTTAAAGTCTTAAAAAAGAAGGTCAAACTCCAAGGTCAAAGGGTCAAAGTTATTGGTATCCAAAAGAAGGTTTACACATGTGAACTGAAGTATGCAAGCCCTAGCACCAATCTTCAAAAGTAAGTCAAACTCCTAGGTAAAGGTCAAAGGTCAGAGTTGTTGGTATCCAAAGGAAGGTCTTGTCACAAAGATTACACCTTTGAAGTATGAAAGCACTAGCAACAACTGTTCAAAGTTATGACCAAGGTTAAAGCTGGGTAAAATTTTGTAAAACTGGGTCAACCTCCAAGGTCAAAAGATCAAATAAGATCAAAGAAAGGTCCTGTCACAAGGAATACACGTGTGGAATATGAAAGCTATAGATAAAATCAATCAGAAATTATGAACAATGTTATCGTTAAAGTTTTTGTTGACAAACAGAAAAACAGACGGACATGGCAAAAAATATATATACCCCCGAATCTTCGATACGGGGCATATTAAGCTTGATTGATTGTATGTTGTTTTACGTCCCGTTCGAAAATGTTTCACTCATATAGAGACATCACCGTATACCGGTGAAGGGCTTCAAATTTAGACCTTTACTCGGCACTTAGGGCCATTGAGCAGTGAGGGTTCTTTCCCAACGCCTACCACATTTGACTTTTGTAGCCTTAGCGCCCTTTTCATTAAGAGGTCACTGTCAAAATAACTGTGTGTCTTTCAAAGTGATGGTAAAGTTGTGGTAATTGGTTGAATACCATTTAATCCTTTATAAATGAGTGAGAAATTCTGTAAGAGACATTAAACAAACATTAAACTAGTAGCACATCACCTACATGTATATCGTGTATCATGATGTGCACGAGATAGGTGCATGTATATTGCAGACACATAAGCTTGTCTCTCGATTCTACTTTTTTATATTTATTTTCGCAACCTGTCTGCTTTTCGGCAACTACTCGCACTGCTTTTCTTTCTACCATCGGCTCATACATTCATCTCTGTCGTTGGCTCGCAAATCTCACAGTAATAAACACGAGAAATAGTGCGATTATTTTAATTTATTATAAATTAAATACCTACGCTAATGTTTGTCCTTTATGGTCGATATATTCTAAATACATCTTAAACTATTAGTTGAATTTGAAATAATCCTTAAAATACCACGTTTTTACTTGATTTCAAAAATCTTGACGCGAGCCCATTGCAGAGGTGTCTGAGAGAGTAACGAACAACTCTGCACTGGAGATTGTGCTTTTCTGCGATTACTTTTTAGCTCGCCGGAGCCGAAGTCAGTTCTCTGTCGTCGTCATTGTTGCTGTCGTAATTGACAATCAAAAAAAAAAATCACCTTATTGCTAGCGCTCTCGAGCGCTAGCAACTACGTTAGTCTATATTTCTGAAATACGCATGCTCGTATTCACGGTCGGGGATTCTGGGAAAACTACTGTAGATAGACTGTACGATAACAATTTCATTTTGTCATGCAAAAATAGAAATGATCAGAATTTACACTTGCCTTTCCTGTCTGATATGCGCGATATACATTTCGAAGGTTAGAGACAGTCAATACCAGTCTAGATCCGGATTCTGAATTTTTTTTTAAAATTTATTGTCTAACCTACACATAAAAGTACAAGAAAAAATTTGGCTAGACATCTAGCTTTCCTTACATTCTTACCACCATAGTGGATAATTCCGGCAAGCTCGGAAAAACAACAACAACAACAAAAATCTTTTTTAGAGTATGTCGGAAAGACATGTCAATTTAGTGTTTATCATCTGAAAATACATATGATCTGAAGTTTCGTGTTTTGTTGTCTAACCTGCACGTACATGTAAATGAAAAAAAGTAACAATAACTCAGGTCTTATAAAACCAAGACTGTTATTTCTAATGTAATAAATACATAGCTTTTCTAATCTACCTTCATGGATCTTTCCGGCAAGCTCGGAAAACCGCGGCAACCTCGGATATGTTTTCCGAGCTTGCCGGAAAGGCCCGAAGGTGCTCATTGGTTCTTCTGACCTTTTATTTTTCACCTCGAAATTGAAATTACAGTAAAATACAGAATGCTTAAAGCACAGTTAGGAGTTACGCCATTGCCGACGTGAAGCACACTCTTAGATTCACCATTCTGAATTGTGACCCCCCCCCCCCCCAAACTCAACCCCCAGTGCACCAATCTGCCTTTCTATTAATAATTAATCGATTCAGCAAATTTAACAAATGGTTCAGATATCTTATTCTGTATTTTATTATGCTATAGCGCTAGCTCACCAATCTTTTCAAAAGATAAGCTTGTTACCTATCTAACTCATGGAATTTACCAGTGCTCGATCATACAACAACAAAATGTGTGCAGGGGGAGGGGGACCAGCATCTAAAGGAAAATTTACTGTAGAAAAATTCTGTACTCAGAAAAGGAGGGGGCTATAAGTGTAATTTTTCCATCACAGAACATTGTTTGGGTCCAGATGACCTGCCAGGACCGAGGTGTGAGAGAGGCCCGTAGGAAGCAATTTCAGTTGGAGGGGGGGGGGGGGGAGGTCGTAGGTATGTTTTCTATAGTATTCTATATATTGGCAAAATTATTGGGACACCCCCCCCCCCCCCCGTTCTTACGGCAATGTGAAATGTGACGGTCAAGGTGTCGTTGGGAAGAGACTTACTGGTATATACCACCATAAATTTGTATATGAAGTATATAAAATGGTGCAAAATCAGATATTTATATATCTGATCCACCTAATTTTTTTATTTATAAAAAAAAAAGTCTTGCTACATGTAACTATATCATGTACATGTTCTAGATAGCGGACATTGTTCAATCACAATATATATTAATACCTACAAATTTTTGGTTCTGTAATCTGTACAATTACAGCTAGGTAGCACAGTGGTGAAATAAAGATCTTGTATTATCAATATATGAATAATGTTAGGTAACAAAGTACATGTAGCTTATAGTACGTCATATAAAAGTAAAAATATCCCTAAGAAAAAACATAAAGATACAACAGTGTTTGATTAACTTTGAAACATATTCAATTTTTGAAAGGTAAAAAAAAAAAATAAGATCGAAATTACATTTGAATTTGTTGGGAGTATGCAATCAAAAACAAAATCTATAGACAAAAGTTTAACAGCTGTTCATAAAAGTTAAGCAACTGTCATTTGATAATTAAAGAAATTTAAAATTTTAGGGGACTCCAAAAAGTTCATGTCTGTTATATGATCTATGTATATATTTTTAAAGGCTTGTTGAATTTAGATAGTAAATAAATTTACAATAAATATATAAATAAACTGTAAAATATTTCAAATCAGCTGGAAAAGGTTAAAAAGAGAACTGTTTTGACTGTAATCAGGATTTTTGCCCAAAGTTGGTGTTGTCATGTGAGCTTAGTTTGGCTGTAAAAATAGGGTAACAACTGGACCCATGGCTGCTTTACTTCAAAGGAAATTTTCAGAGATGGTGACTATTTTATTCATCACTTTCAATATGAACATACATGTATAGGCCCCCTAATTATATACCTGTTAGAAATATTCTGTAAATGTATTGCTATGTTCATTTCCATAATTTCTAAATCATTTGTTTGTTTGGTGCTGAACTTATGAAGGTAAAAACCTTTGAAAAGCATCATGCCACTGATTTAGATACCTCATCTATTTGCACGTGCCCAAAACAGAATGTCATATACATTTGGAGAAAAAAAATCTATTCGTTAGTATTTGATTAAAATTTTGGTAATATTTGGATAAATCATAGGAACCTTTAAAGCAAAACTGCACTAATGCCCTATTCAGTTGTATTCGTTAGGAAAATTTTGTAATTGAATGCTTATTTCCACCGAAATAGGTTCCTCGAGGGTATATTTTTTTTCTTTTGTTAATGTATTTTGCTTTCTTTTTTCTGCTCATTTGTTGTATTTGTGCCTTATTGACCTTATACATTTTTGTCATTTTCTATGTGTTGGAGAGGACAATCTAAGTTAGAATAACTTGTTTCCAATCCCATTGATTGTATCAATAAAATGACCTTAGAAAACAGAAGACAACAAGGGGGCGTTTCCTAATTTTACACCGTCCCTGTTTTGTTTACTTCCTGTAGATTTCATGTGGCAAACTTAGCCAATGTTTTTAAATGTTAGACCAGCTCAACTTATGCAAAAAGAAGAACTTATTGAATATCTTTTACCACCAGTTTAAAGGTAAATTATGTTTTAAAAAATTGCGGTTATTCTCCATTGACGATTAAGTAACATATTAAAGTTCATATTGTTGAGACTCTTACTTTACTGGGGGGGGGGGGGGGGGGGGGGGGATACTTCACTCAGTATTGGTGAAAACTTATATCTCTTTTCTATTGTACATTCTTATATTCAGTATTCTGGTAGATTTAATTGATTGTTCTTATATTTAAAATGTTTATAGACAATAATTTAACAGTATATACATGTATCTATGTTGTTGTGAGTTGATTTATTCTGTACAAACTGTTGGAAATTACCACATTGTGGTATTACATGAAGGGAGAGGGTGAATTAAGTTTTTAGAACTTGTACCCAATCCCATTGTTTATATTTATCGCTATAAAATATGTTCAAATCAAATCAATAAATCATTTTGGAAAGGATGGAGGGGGTCACAAAATTTCTTTTGGATAACAGGTTTGCCTTGATAATGATAGAATAGAGAGGTTGAGATTTCAGACGTGTACGTGTATGGGTACGTCTAGTAGGGGAATTCCCTAAATTTCTTGCGTATTATGTCATCGGTTTTGGTGTTGATAATTTTCTACACGTTCCTACAACTTGTAAAAAGGCATCTACACGTAAGTGTAAACTTGTAGCTTTTTCAATAAAAACCAGTCAATTTATGTGTGAAACCGTTATTGTTGTTAATTATTTAGGATGTTAGGTTTCATGAACACTTATTTTAAGTAATAACCATGTTTTGTTCACTTACTAAAGTCAAACTAATGTCACAAAACTACTAAATAGTTGGAACAGAGACACCGATTACACTCTACACGTTTACGTTACACGTCATTGAAATCTCAACAGACAAATTACAAAAAACGTGTACCTGTACGTCAAAGTCTGTGCACACATACACGTACGCGTACAAGTTTAAAATCTCAGCCTCTCTAATGTTCACCTTAAGTGATTTCTCCCCAAGTATACCTGTATTCGATCCCACTTTAAAGTAATTAGTATATACATGTACCTGTAGACCTAATTAAAGATATCAAGTTTTCGTACTTGTGGAGTTGGGCATTTTTTTTTTACAAGGCCATGCAAATAAAATAAGTGGTAGCTGTACATCTGTACATGGCATATATATAATATGTAGGTATTATAATTTTGTTTTCTTTTTTTAGAAAAGATATCAAACCATGCACAGTGTATGACTGAAGGGTATAATTGGAATAGTTTATCCAAACCATATATATATATTAAAAAAAAATCAGCACAGAGCAGATATGTATATGATGAAGAGTTTCAAACTTATATATGATCAGGAAGAACCAGTTCCTTTGGAGACAGGCAGAGATGTAACTTCAAATACAACATATAGTGATTCTGATACAATTTCTGCCGAAGAAAACTTGGCAACTAATTTAGATACATCACATAGTGATTCTGATACAATTTCCGCAGAAGAAAACTCAACAACTAACTTAGAGACTGACAAAGATCTTTCTTCAGATACATCTGATATAATTTCTGCAGGAAGAAACTCGGACGATGACTTCAGTGCTGATGAATTTGAATGTGAACTGTGTTATGGAGTATTTAACAGTGAATATCAGTTAAATTTGCATATGGAAACTCATTCAGAGTATGTTCCCTCAGACGGTAGTGGTTCTGATGCTGAATTTGATCGACCAAATAAAAAGTATAAAAAATCTGGGAGAAATGATAAAAATAACAAAAAGACCAAAAAAGTACGGCCTAAAAGAGAAAAGTGCAAAAAATGTGATAAATATTATGCCAGTCTTGATAAACACATTGAGAAAGTACATTTAGCTGTCAAGTGTACAAAATGTGACAAGATATTTGATGACGGACTGAAAATGAAAGCGCATATATTACGTGTACATTCAAACAGAGCAAGATTTCCCTGTGAAGTGTGCAAGAAATCTTACTCGACAAAATCCTTTTTAAGAATTCACAAAGAAAGTAAGCATGAAAAGCGTGTTTTTATGTGTGAAGAATGCGGAGGAGTTTTTACCAGTAAAGAAAACTTGAATGTGCACAAGCGAAAGCATTCAGAAAAGAACACTAGTCATCGTGACATGTATCAAATAGTTTGTGATGTTTGTGGGAAGACGGTTAAATCTCATAACAGATGGAGACACATGCGAACCCACTCAAAGACGAAGGCCTTAAAATGTGCAGTCTGTGGTCGAGGTTTTAACGAAAAGGAACAGCTTGACAAGCATTCTCGAACTCACACAGGGGAAAAACCATATAAATGTAAGACATGTCCGAAAGCATTCAACCATAATGTCTCCCTGAAGGCTCACATGAAAAAGTGTCATTAAATGAGAGATGTGCCAGAATACATTCAAGGACAAAGAGTGCCCAATGACTTCATTTGAAATAGTGTCATTTATAGCAGTACAAATATGGTGAAATATGAGACCAAAATCACTCGACCACATTATGTTTTTTAATAATGCTAAAGGCTCACATGAACATGATGAAAATGTGTCATTTTTTGAGTACAAATGTGAAATATTTCTGCCCCAAAGCTTTCAACCACAGAGTGTTCTTAATGGATAATCTAGAAATGTATCATTTGTAGTTTTATAGATACATGTAGTTATTCACTTTTTAGTATTTTCATACAATATTTACTACCTAAGACATAGCAGGATATGGGACAAAAATAATGACAATTTAATGATTATGAGCAGAAAATACACTGAATTGGGTTGGGTTTTTTTTATGCGCCCGGATCGATAGATCGGGGGCACATATTGTTTTTGTCCTGTCTGTATGTTTGTCTGTCTGTTGTCAACTTTAACCTTCACCATAACTTTTGAACCATGAGAGAGAGAGACTTCATATTTGGTATGCATACTCCACTCATTAAGTTCTTTCAAATGACACCAAGATCAATGACCTTGTGACCTTGACTGTGACCTATATGCTAAAAATAGCTTTTTCGAACTTTGTTGCCGCCGGGTGCATAGTGTTTCACAAACACATCTTTTTTTTTTTTTTTTTTTTTTTTTTTTTTACATTAAATAAGGGGAATTACTTTGATACTGTTCCAGTTTGAAACAATACATTTTTTTTTTGGGGGGGGGGGGGGGGGGGGGAACTGCTGTTTTACATTGGGCAATATTTCGTGCAGCATAGTAAAATATACATACATATATATTTACTGTAATTCTGATTTCATATTAACCTAAGGATTTCTTTTTTTATTATTCAGAATATTATATTTTTTTCTGTGCTTGTCATGTACAAGAGTTATATTTCTTGAAAATATTAAAAGCCATCTACAAGAGTTATCTTTCTTGAAAATATTAATTAAGGGGAAAAATCATTGTTGCAAACCACAATCTAATTAAAATTAGATCCTTTACGCTCCTGTAGCGACATAACAAAATATGGGAGAGTAAAGGATCTAATTTTAATTAGATTGCGCAAACCACTTCCAAAATTTTCAATTTTTCTCCCACTCTGAGGAGAGCTATATGTGGACTCTGGACCTTGGCTTGAGATGATGGGGGAAAATATACTACCAGTAAAAACACTGAAATCACATTGGGTCCTCATTACCTAACTCTTGACCAATTAAAAATCTTCATACAAGAATCACAAGGGAAGGGAAGACAAAACTTATGAAAAGGCCTCTTTATAATTAATATGTTGTAGATCTAGATTTCAATTATCTAAATCTTGAAACCCTCTTGAAAGCCCCAACTTGAACCGTTCAAAAGTTACAAGCAAGGTTTTTTTTTTTTTTGTTTTTTTTTTCAAAAAGTAAGTCGACGGTCAAGTCATGAGAATTGAGATCAAGACTGTTGATAGTTTGGTACCCAAAGAAAGGTCCTCTCACAAGAAATGCACATGTGATATATGGAATCCCTATAGAATCCATCATAAAAAGTTATGGCTAAGTTTCAAAGGTTTTAAAAAGTTTTAACTCAAAGGTCAAGGTAAAAAATGTCGGTACTCGAAGAAATGTTTGGTACATGAAATACATGTAATACGTATGAAATATAAAAACCCTAACATTTACCGTTCAAAAGATATAGCCAAGGTTAAAGTTGGCAAAATTATGAAAAGTGGGTCAATCTTCAATTATGTTGTAATTGGTACCAAAAGAATAACAATAATAGTTCAGCAGCCCCTTACCTCTGTGTCCGCCCACCTGTCTGTATGCACTCTGTCACACTTTGTCCTCCGCATTTTTTTCTCTATCCGCTTGCAGATTATCGGGTTGATTTTTGATATGCAAGTCAATCTTAATGTATTGAGTTATACTTACAAATCAAGTTTTAATACATTTTAGTCTATTTTCGTTCCCATTTATTATTTGTGCAGAATGCTTGTTTTGTATGGAAATTTTCATTTAACAGAAAGGATGGTTGCCCCCTCCCCATTTTTTGTTGTAGTACATGTATATATGCAGTCTAAGTTGACCCTCCCACATTAATCGTGTTATTCATTGAACCCAATATTATTAGAATGAAATTGAAATCTGCTCCCTCTTCCGTCCCTCCCGTAATTTGAAAATTTTGGTCTTACGAAACTGTTTATTTTTTGTTTTTGTTTTTTTTTTTAATTAATGCTACTTATATGTGCATACCTGTTGAGTTACCGAGGATTGGAATAACGTGTGTCATCAATTGAAAGAAAGAGCAATGATGTATATACTTCCTGCAATTGAATATTTTTTTTGGGGGGGGGGGGGGGTGTATGTATGTAGGAATCAGTCTTAATTGGACCTTTCTATCTGTTTGTATTTTTCATATTTTTTTTAAATGGGGGAATATTTAGAGGCACATACGTGGCAAAATGTTGGATAATGGATATTACAAGAAGTTGCGTCAAAACTGCGTCATGAACTGAATGAGGGTTAAATGTCAAGGTCACAGAGTCTCCAGATGTAAAATTCGTCTTTGTTAAAATAGAGAAAATTTTAATAGGCTTGTACTGGACACAAAGGTTGCCAAGGTGGTGCGTCAGGATCCTAAACCAAGGCCTAAAGGACAAGCTAAGGTAATGTATAATTATACGTGTATCAGGGTGGGGAGTGTAAAATTATTCAGGGCTACTAGTATATAGGGCAGGTTCCTTTATTGAATTTCAGTAAATCTCGGTGTACGTGATTGCAGGTCGATCTTGGAAATCTGAAAATGTCAATGCTTAAAAGAACTGAAAGTGTTCAGATGAAAAAAAATATAACAAGAAAAAAAATCATAGATTCACAAGATCGTCATTGAATGATTATAGCTGGTTACAAAAAAATCTAATATATTCATACATCATAAACTAAAGCAAATGAACTTACTTTATAAAAATCAATGTTGATTAAATGAATTATAAATACATGTATATTATGTATTATTAATTTGACGTCTAAATTTTCCTTGTATGAAGAAAAACAAATCAAAAAAAAAAAAAAATGATGAAAATGTCGGTCCATGTATTACTATAACATGTATAAATTGAATCGTTTTTGGTCTTATAGATTACAAATATTTATTTGGTTTCCCATTATTGTCTTTAATGGTCCCTATATTCTTTTAAAGGTACTTTTGTGGTACTTTGGGGATTTTCGATGCACTGGTTTCCTATATTTACCGAGCCCCAATGTTTATTTCCGGTGAAAACATTGTATGTACAGTAAACTTCAACTTGGAATTGTATACTTTGACTGAATAAATGAATCATTGAATGAGAAGAGCATAGCCAACATATAGTGAAAATTAATGAATATTTTGGTAAGGAACAAACACCTTTGGCTGTACTACATGTACTTTTATATGAGCATGCTGAGGTAGTGTGTAGTTTAGATTCTTACAAGTTTTGCACCACTTTTGGCGGAATATGACATAGAATAAGAGGAATAATTTTTATTTTTATGATAAACAAACAAAGCTTCAGACAAACAAAAATCCCAATGAAACATTCAAAGGAAAAAACTCCAGACTAAACAATAAAAGTGCAAAGTAGTCTGGAGGGGGGGAGGGGGGGCATCAAATATTATCTATATTACAGGGGTAATTGGAGTGTAAAAAATATTTTATACATAATTTAATTTTGTTTTCCTCAGTAGTTACATATAAAGTAATAATGCACTGCGCATTACAAGTATTGAAATAGTCAATTAGTCATCTCATGTGCATATCTAGAGTGGTAAGTTTTAGCAGTTTAGGGTCCAGTGCTTCCTTTGGGATTTCTGATTTGTTTAATTATGTAAAGTAGCACAAAAATTACATTGATCCCCCCCCCCCCATGCCCCTCCACCCACCCACCCTAACAATATAGGTTTTAAAGGTTTCGCAGATATGCATTCGGATCATTATTCAGGAAATTCACATGTTCTTTATCAAATCTTACATTGATAAATCAGAAAAATCACAGATGAAACATTTCTATTATTACCCATTGTATAGATCTGATGTCAATGAGTCAGAAACTAGAAGAAGCACCTGTCTTACAACTTCATCAGTTGACGTCTATAAATGAAAAATTTGCCCTAACAAAATATTGAAAAGTTCAACACTACCCCGGAGATAATTCATTTGGATCTGTTTGTGAAAATAATTATGTAAAAACATTATCAATGAAAAGTGCTGCTAGAATCTTACTCTCCCGTCACAGAAATAATTATTTCACACTTTGCCATGAAACCTTAAATTACCAAAATTTTTACACAATTTGTACATAAGATTGAGGAATTTTCATCAATTCATGTTAAGTACACGATTCTAGAAGCACTTTCCAAGTACAGTACTATGGAATACAAGCTTTTGATATCAACAAAAAACAAGTTTCAAAGTATCTGGCATATTGTTTGGGAATTTCCAAAACAACAGAAAAAAGACTGTCTTGTAATTATGGTATCATTTTGATGGTGTTGTGAAATAAAAATTCTCCACCAAAGAAATTTAAAAAAAAAAATATTTTTGTCAAATTAATTGCACCTTGAATTTTACATTGAAGTCTATATATGGGCAATGCATGAGTTATTAGAATATTGTAAAAAGTATTTTGAATTTCATAAAAAGCTCTTGGTGAAAAAATGCATACACTCTCTCATTATTAAAATACGAAATAAAATTAATCATTTACCACAAATATTTTGACGAAATTAAAATTTTCTTCTTTGCATCAAGGGCAGATAACTCTTCAAAAACTTTAAAAGTGCAGAATGACAAGCTTCTTATATGTTATCAGTCATGTGAATTTGGTTCATTTCACTTTCATCGTTATCTAGCAATGCAATTTTAACTAGTTTAAAATGATTAAAAAATTCTTCAAAATCCCTTCATTATACATTGAATACCTTAAGATGTAATTCTGTACATATAATTTTTCAATGTCCATTTGTAGTTTCCCCACCAAACATCTTATTGTTATCTGAACACTAAGTTGTAAGTTAAGTTAAGTTGTTTTTCTGTTTTTAGTTAATGAATATTATTACCATAAAAAAGGATTTTACAGTACTGTAGTAAGTTAAACTATATTTTTCATAATCAAAAATATTTTTTTTTTTATTTCAGGGGTTGAATAGTGCAGGACATCTTCCATATATAGAGAGATAACAACTCATTGGACTGGTCTGACTGTTGTTCACATCTTTATATTGGAATGATGAATTTTTCGACAGGATTTCAAATGCCCTCCCAAGCTCCATCACTGTTTCTGATGAATGCTAATTATGCTAAACCCATCAACGAACAGCAGAATGTTTACTTTAACAATGCGAATCCTGTTCAGATTGTTGGAACTCCTTATCCAGTTGTTTACAACTTCATTCCTCAGATTGCTGTACAACCTGTACTGACCAATACTGGTTCTCTGAACCAAGTCCAAGGCAATCAAGGAACATTTTTTATGCAGGCACCATTATTACAAGGACAACAAGTGATACAAACTGTAAACGGTTTTAATAACAACTTAATCCAGACAAAACAGGAGCCATTGATACAGACGAACGCTGGGCAGACAGAGGCCATGACAAATGGTACTGCTTGCCAACCACTATCAGTCTCATCACAAACATCAACAGTGCCAAATTCAACCAATTCTGAAGTGGTCAATCAGTCAGAGGGCACAGCCTGTAAACCTGCTTTCCAAATTCACCAAAATTCACTCTCTGTATCATCTCAGACTTTTGCAGCACCAATTTCAACTAACTCTGGATCTGTCAGTCAGGCAAACCATTCTCAGTCAAGGGGCACAATCTGTAGCCCTGCTTTCCAAGTTCAGATGAATTCGCTGTCAGTATTATGTCAGACCTCCACAGCACCGATTTCAACAAATTCTGTATCGGTCAAACAAGCAGATTTTTCTCAGTCAAATAGTGCTAGTTGTAGTCCGACTTGCCAAGTTCAGGTGAATTCAGTACCAGTTTTATCCCAGAATTCCACAACATCAGTTCCATCCAATTTTGACTCCAACAATAAAGTATCTGACAAGACATTGTGTGAAGATAAGACAAATAATGAAATGCAGCAACCCAAAACATCATGTGAGAAAAATGCAGACAGCATGCAGCAGCCAAAGAAATTCAAGTCAAGTATGCCAAGTCAAAAGCACCGTCCATTCACAAGTTTTAAATTAGTTTTAGATGGTGATACAGTGGCTGCTGTGTCCTCATCCTTGTGCAAAGCCACACCTTTAGAAGAGAGTGAAAATGAGGACAGTTTACCTGGTGGTAGTTCTCAAGAAAAGGAAAATGAGGAAAATGAGACTCAGAGAGCAGATAATGAAGACTTCAATGAACAGTCTAGAGAATCTTATTCAACATATGAAAATGATACCAATGATTCAGAGGATTTGGAATGCGTAGGAGATAACAACTCAAATGACTTTGATGAAGAACAGTTGAAAGATAATGAAAAGATTAGGGTTAAGTTCAAGGAGAAGGATTTATTGCAGAATGGACAGAAAAGCAAAAAGAAATGCAATCTGTGTGGAAATTATGTTGTAAAGTTGGATTTACATTTTGAAAGATACCATGGTACTCCGTCCAAGTGTAAATATTGTGGAAAGATGTTTGAAGATGTGTGGGAAACAAAAAAGCATATGCAAAAGGAGCATTTAGAACAATTGAAGAAAGAATTCACTTGTAATATTTGTAACAAAACATTTTCCCAAAAACAAGAGCTGAGAAACCATAAATTAGCAGCTCATGGAAGTAAAAGAAAATTCACTTGTGAGGAATGTGGAAGACACTTCAATCATTTATCAACCCTGGAAGGTCATCGGAAAGTTCACACTGGAGTTGACAGAAGCTATGTATGTGAAATATGCGGTAAACGTTTCCCTCGCCGAAACACAATGAGACATGCAAGAATGCATAGCCAGACAAGGGAATTCAAGTGCCCTTCATGTGATAAGTCTTTTAATGAAAAGGATCAACTTCAGAAACATCTTCGCTTACATACGGGTGAAAAACCATACAAATGTAGACATTGTCCAAAAGCCTTCAACCACAATGTATCCCTCAAGTCTCATGTGAAAAAGTACCACCCTAATGTAGAGCGTAACGATGAATCAAATGAATCAAATTCAATGGATGTTATAATGATAGGATAAAATTTTTATGCCCTGAGCAGGTCTTCTTATTTTAGATTTTATTAAGATAAGAATAATATAATTGGTAGGTGATTTTATGTGTTGAGAGAAAACAAATGATACATTTCAAGTTTCTTGTCACAGTACAATATTATTGATACTGATTTTCAGTTTTCTTTTCTTGAATAAAAGCTTATATTGTTCTATGGGACATGCCACTGACTTTTTGAGGGGACATGCCACTGACTTTTTGAGGTCTTCTGCCAAAATCATGTAGGTATATAAATGATGTATAAGATGACATGTTTACAAATGAAACAGAAAAGTAGAAAATGTCTGGCTGGACTTGGAATCGAACCTGGGACCCCTGCAGCAATTAATAGTCTGCTGCTCTACAAACTGAGCTATCCAGGCTGACTTCCATGGTGCAAACTATTTAATTACACTAATTAATACAAGCTCACAAGGCACTTGTCCAAATTTAGTTTCCTAGAAATCTGCTGTTTGCAGCTTCCCTTAAAACAAGGGAGATTAACTTGAAAAAATAAAAAAAAATAAAGTAGTGGTTGATAAATAAAGCAAGATGTGTTTGTGAAACACTGATGCCCCTGTATGGCAACTTATATCAAAGGTTAAACTTTCTCAAATGCAAATCAAATATGTTGGTATCCAAAGTAAGGTCTTGTCTCGAAGAATATACCTTTGAAATATAAAAACCCTAGCAGCAACCATTGGATAGATATGGAAAAGTTTTAATTTTTTCAAAGGTAAGTCAAACATCAAGGTCAAGTTCAAATGGTAAAAATTAATGGTGCCCAAGGAAAGGCCTTCTAACAAGAAATACACATATGAAATATGAAAGCCCTGGCACCAACGATTCAAGAGTTATGACCAAAGTTAAAGTCTTTCAAAAGTAGGTCAAACTCCAAGGTGAAAGGGTCAAAGGTATTGGTATCCAAAGGAAGGTCTTGTCACAATGATTACATATGTGAAGTATGAAAGCCCTAGCGCCAACGTTTAAAAATTATGGCCAAGGTTAAAGTTTTGCAAAAGTAGGTCAAACTCCAAGGTCAAAGGTATTGGTATTCAAAGGAAGGTCTTGTTACAACGATTACACATGTAAAGTGTGAAAGCCCTAGAACCGACCATTCAAAAGTTATGGCCAAGGTTTAGATTTTGCAAAAGTAGGTCAAACTCCAGGGTCAAAGGGTCAATGTTGTTATCATCCAAGGGAAGACTTTGTCACAACAATTAAATATGTGAAGTATGAAAGCCCTCGAACCAACGGTTCAAAAGTTATGGCCAAGGTTAAAGTTTTGCAAAAGTATGTCAAACTCCAAGGTCAAAGGGTCAAAGTTGTTGGTATCCAAGAGAAGACCTTTGCACAAGGATTACATATGTGATGGATGAAAGCCCTATTAACACAAACTGTTCAAAAGTTATGGCCAAAGTTAAAGTTTTTCAAAACACGGTCAAACTCCAAGGTCAAGGTCAAAGGGTCAAAGTTGTTGGTATCTGAAGGAAGGTCTTGTCAAAAGGTATACACGTAAAGTTTGAAAGCCCTAGCATCAACTACTCAAAAGTTATGGTCAATGTTAAGTCTGAATTTTTTTTGCAAAAGGAGATGGGCGAACATAGCGTGCAGAAAGCCTATAGCTTCAGAAATATAAAAATCATGTTTAATTTGTGAATTTAATATTTAGAGTAAAGTTCTCATTATTGAAATTTATGAAATTGTGATAAACAAAACTTTTCTGAGGAATATTTTCTCGGCAAAATTTATTCTTTTATTAAAAAAAAATAATGTGGTATTGGTGGGGTTCGAACCCTAAAAATCCTGAGTACAATTTTCTTTCGAGACTAGCACGCTAACCACTAGACTACACAAGTCCTGATGAACAGTGGCATTTAAATCATGTTTGTGATATGACCCTTGACTTAATGGACTTCAAGTATTTCTCGAAAAGATGCGAATGTTATGTCATAAAAGTATATTTTTAAGGTATAGTGGGTCAATGCTCCATATTTTTGGTAACCAAAAAATGTATATTTTTATGCAAACTTTGAGGATTAACTTTAAAAAAGGTGGAGCGAAGACCCACTCATATCGAAAAATAGTGTTATAGTATGAGAAAATGACTCTTTTTGTCCGCTTTAGAGTGTGTCTAATATTTCACAGGCAAGTAATTTCAATCTTTGAGGGATTTTTGCAAATTGTAGAGATTTTACATAAAGTATATTTTAATGTTAGACGAAATATCAAGGAAAATTTTGATATAATTGAAATTTAATTTTTTATCTTCATGTTTGTCCCACTATAGGCTTATCGCTCGTCATGTTCACCCATCTCCTTTGGTCAAACTCCAAGGTCAAGGTCAAAAGGTCAAATTTTATGGTACTCAAAGAAAGGTCTTGTCACAAGGAATACATATGTGAAATATGAAAGCCATAGCTCCAACCAATCAAAAGTTATGGGTAAAGTTAAAGTTTTTGCGGACAGACAGACGGACGGACAGGGCAAAAACTATATGCCCCCGAATCTTTGATTACGGGGGCATAAAAATTCTCCATATTACAGTAAAACTTTTCTAATCCATACTGGCTCCATAGAAATTGTCTGCATTAGACAACATTCCAGATGAGACAAGATTTTTAAACAATTATTTTTTGATTTTACTGGTGTCCTTTCTGACATATTTCATTTTGTCAAATAAAATCTGCAACATGACTATAGGGGGAAAATAGTCATGTTGCAGATTTTATTTGACAAAATGAAATATGTCAGAAAGGACAGTTATGATTAAAGATAAAATTTCACTTTGAATTTTAGTCAATTAATATTTCAATTTGGGTTAAGATTAATGTATGTGGATATTTTAACATAACATTTTGGGTATTCTCGTTTTATAGGAATTATATAGTAAAGTCTTTATTTTATTTCCTGTTACAATTTCAGATATATGTATAGAAATTTGGTAATAGTATTTTATTTGATGAAAAAGAAGGAATGTCTTTGAAGAAAAAAATAAGTACAGGTAATTGTCTAAAATAAATAATATGTGTTACTCAGAAGATTTGGCATGAGGGATTAGTAAACTGTTTAAGCCTTTAGCCATACAATTATGTAATTTTGCTGGAAAAAGAGAACAGCAGTAATTTGTAGATAGGTGATGTGTTTTTTTTGTATATTTATTTATGGGTTCTTTTATCTTTTTTATCTAGTGTCAAAAACACTATCAAACGAAGTAGAATCCATTAACCTATTGTTAGGGGATTAACTTGTTAAGTGGCAGGTCAAATACTCAGGTAATGGTCAGTTCATGTCATGTGATTTTTCAAAATACGATATTTTGGCTATTATTGATACAAATTAACAAAGAAAAACTAATTTGATTGGACAAAATAATTCACGGCAAGCGTGGGTCTCCGAATGGAATTGTGCCCGCAACTCGGCCATTCTATTCGGAGACGTGAATAAAGTAACATCGTTTTTAATTTGATCCACGCTTTGCTTTTCCTTATTACAGGTATGGTAAAAATGTTTTATTTGGTTAAGTTATTTTTCTAGAACTTATAAAGAAAAGATTAATTAATTATTTATTAACATTTGCAATTAATTTCTGGAGTTTACAAAAATTTGAGCTTTAGTTTACAAAATTTGAGCTTTCATTAAAATAGAAATCTATTATAAAAGTATTATATTGAGATCAGGGCATTTATATTTGATGTGTGTTCTTATGATTTTTCTTGTATTTTGGTAGCTGTAGTCCTATGTAGAGTGTAGTTTTATAGTTAGACACGTTTTACTTTTTATCGGTTTTATACCGGAAATATAATGCCTTTCTTTGTTTGGCTCTATTATTATTATCAAACTCTCCAGTCGAGGGAGGTAAATTTAAATGTATCCAGTGTAAACAAAAGTACGAGCTTTAGTATTTCAGTTGGAAATTACATTGTCTAGATTTTTTATTATATAGAGTGAGTCTTTTAATATTGTTTAATCACTCTATGAGTCACCAGATGTTAGGTAGGTTAAGGCACACTTGTTTGTAATGCTACGAGCAACTCATAATGATTTATTTTATTGTGCCTGGTGACTTTTTGTTGTGCATTCTATTCGGAGACGTGAATAAAGTAACATCGTTTTTAATTTGATCCACGCTTTGCTTTTCCTTATTACAGTGCACCCAAACCTAATCTGGACCTGGTGGCTGAAAAGCAGAATCATTATAAATAAGGGTCTCTCACAAGCGAGCGAGCTAGACAAATTCCCAAGATAAGTGCGGTCACCCAATAGGGCGACACGACACTGGTATTTGATTCAGAATATACATCATGCATGCAGATTAGGCAAGCTTCACTGTATAAAAATATACAGTCAGACTTCGGTATCTCGAACACTGATATCTCGAGCACTATGGATATGTCGAAGTGATTGGAGGTCTCAATAGCTTATTCCTGTTATTATAATATTATTATTATAGCTGGATATTTCGAACCCTCAGATGTCTCAAAGTATTTTCTTCTCGGCCCCCTCGAGTTCGAAATAACCAGGTTTGACTGTATCTGCTGGCCATACTTTCACTATAGTATGATACATAAGAATTAGTATATATTGTAATAGTATATTATTAAATTTGTTCAAGGTCACACAAGGGCAAAGGGTATGGTCTCAAGGTCATATTTAAATATACCGTAAAGATGAATCCTACACCAACATTTTATTTAATGGTTCTTTAAGCCATCTCTTTAGAAGTATGATGTCAGCATGGAAAGATTGATATTAGCTCTTAATCATTTGATATGATTTTTTTTATCTATTTTTCCAAAGAAAATGTAAAAAAAAAAAAAAAAAAAATCATTTGCAATTAACATGCTTTGGATATTGTTAGGGTGTAATATTTACTGTTGATAAATGCATTTCTCTATTACATGTACATGTAAATGTGTCAAGTAATGGCGATATTTGAAATTTTAAATAAAAATTAATATACTTTATATATAAAAAATGTAATTTGTTAATATTTTATAAACTTAAGGTTGAAATCTCCAAGAAACAAGTCGCCTATAGAAAAGAAATATCAGGATTTTATAAAGAAATTGAAATGATCTTATATAACTTGAGTTGATCCACCTTCAGCTCAGGATGTTTTAACAAAAAAATACAAGTTGTCATACTCTTTGAATTTCATCTTTAATCTACTCCTCTGAGACTACTCGATCTGGTCTGCATTAATTTGGAGTGCTCTAGAGAGCAAAAAGTTTTTTTTTTTTTTTTTTTTTTTTTTTTTTTTTTTTAAATACCACAGAAAACGTAGATTTTCGCTTCCGAGAAGGTATCCGGAAATTTTTTAACCGGCTTGATTTCTTCTAAATTTATCGTGTCAATAAGATTTCCGGTGATGTATTCGTTCCGAAAAAAATCGTGATCCATGATAGATACATATATGAAATGCACAGTTTACCGGGAAGTGCTCGGTTTAAGAGTACCACTACAGGACGAGCTGATTCCACACAGAAGCCCTCTCAGACCGGGGAGGAAATATCCGAAAGGAAAGAGGAAATAGCAAAGAAGGAAAGTCAGCAAAAACGTCTCTACTTTTACCAGAGCGAGCTTCAAAACATGGCCCGAGAATTACCGGGGTATATATAGATCTGTGATAAACTAGAGCAATAGTTTGTAATTAAGGGATTTACAAGGCCAGTTTTATATGCTCTGCATTGCTTTTTTTTTTTGAAACGTGAACACACGGGTGCTTGGGAAGGGACCCCCTCCCCCCTCAAGTGTTCCCTACTCCAGGGTAATTTGACATTTTTTATATAAAATATTTCTTCTATGACACACTCACAAAGTATTAAAATTGAGAAATCCAAAATATAACCTTAAACAATTCACACTGAGTACTTTATGATACTAAAAGAGAACAAAGTTGGAAACTTTGACAGACGACCTAAAAAAAAAAAAAGATAAGAATGGAAGCTACTTACTGACTGGAAGTCTTCAGAATTTATTAATATATTGATACATCGCTAATTTGTGTCCCATTGTAATTTCAGTCCTGGGCATTTTCATGTTTTACACCTGCAACTCATCATTTCATTTGTCAATAAATTGATCAGAAGTTACTATTTCTAGAAGGGGAAAACCCTATGTTTTTTTTTTTTGTTTTTTTGTTTTTTTTTTTTTTTTTGAGAAACAAAATTTTGGGCACAGAACAGGGGGAGGGTCCAAGGGTGTCCCTCTTCAAGCACTTGTGATGTGAAATACACAAAAAGTTGCAAGTGTAGTATTTGTACCATGGATATATGATTTAATAAATAACTATTTTGACTAATTTAAAACCCTTAGGTCTTACAACTCAATTACCGAATGCATTTAATCATGTTAATCTTGATCTGCAATTATGGCAACCATATTTTATATTGGTCTTTCTTAATTCTAATGAAAATCCAGTGAAAAAACAAAGTAGTAGTGTTTCTATTATGCTATGTAAATAAATTATCCTTCAGTAAATATCAACAACGACTCCCATATGATCTGCTATCTGGTCTGGCCAGTTCCCTGCTGGATGGTACCGTATTTGAAATCGTCCGCAGTCTACAGGAAGTTCAGCAGTTAGAGGAGAGACATCTTCACACACAGCGAGTCAAACTCATCAATGATCACAAAGGTTAGATACTCCCACAGCAAGTCAAACTCTTCAATGATCACAAAGGTTAGATACTCCCACAGCGAGTCAAACTCATCAATGATCACAAAGGTTAGAGACATACACACAGCGAGTCAAACTCATCAATGATCACAAAGATTAGTTACAGACACACAGCGAGTCAAACTCATCAATGATCACAAAGGTTAGAAACATACACACAGCGAGTCAAACTCATCAACGATCACAAAGGATAGTTACAGACACACAGCGAGTCAAACTCATCAATGATCACAAAGGTTAGAAACATACACACAGCGATTCAAACTCATCAATGATCACAAAGGTTAGTTACTCACACAGCGAGTCAAACTCATCAATGATCACAAAGGTTAGAAACATACACACAGGGAGTCAATCTCATCAGTAATCACAAAGGTTAGACACATACACACAGCAAGTCAAACTCATCAATGTTCACAAAGGTTAGATATCCACACAGTGTGTCAAACTCATCAGTAATCACAAAGGTTAGATACATACACACAGCGAGTTAAACTCATCAGTGATCACAAAACTGGATACCCATTTGTAGCTAAATGTAAGAGTTAATCTTTTAATTAATAACTATACCCCCGCTCCAAAGGAGAGGGGGGTATACCGTTTTACCCTTGTGTGTCTGTCTGGCTGTCTGTGTGTCTGTCCGTAACAGATTTTTGTTGCAGTTTTCTCAGCAACTACTCATCGTAGATGCTTGAAATTTTAGCAGTCTTTGTTTAGGCATCCCATGTGGTGAGATTCATTTTTGTACGAATCTGATGTTAACTTCCTGTTTATCCATGTGTCTGTCAGTACCACACTTTTTTCGCAGTTTTCTCAGCAACTGCAATCAAATGTCAACTTCATGTTTATCTGTAAGACTGTTTGTACCAAATTTCTGTCACAGTTTTCTCAGCAACTATTCATCATTGATGCTTGAAGTTTTAGCACTCTCTTTGTTTAGGCATGCCATGTGGTGGAATTCATGATAGCCTAATATATTCACATCAGAGCGGGGGTATCACTAGTGAGCATTGGCTCACAGACTTTTGAGGTTGCAGGATAGAAGGTCTAAGTCAAACTATCTAGGAATTATAGAATTACTGATTTTTGATGAGGTCTACTCATGAAAACAGACCTGTATGTATTGCTTGACCAAGGCAAAGGTTAAGCAATATCTCCCCGGGTATGTATAATCAAGAGGAGACCAAATTCAAAAGTCAATAAATGTTTCATTAAATGATCAGGAATTTTACACACTATAGTTCTTGTTTCAATCAAATAAAAAAAAAATAATCAAAATATAATATATTATACTTTCATGTAAATTAGTTGAATCTGATTCGCCGAGAAACATTTGTTAAAAAACACTATCACCCGCTGAATAATGAAGCCACGCCCTCCAGCGTAGCAACGGTCAACATTGCTTGACGATGGGTGATATTCCAAAAAATATTGACTGCGCAGAATTTATGCGCGCAAGGTTCACTGAAATATGTATTGTATAAAACATTCAGTATAATATAATAAATACTGCATGTAGTTGAGTGTAACATTGAAAATTTTCACCCCTTGAAAACCATTGTCAACCGAGGCTGCGCCTCGGTTGACAATGGTTTTCTTGGGGTAAAAATTTTCAATGTTACACTCAACTACATGCAGTATTTATATAGTGTTGTGCAACAGCACATCAATTACATGTATATTTCAAAAGGTTAACAAATGTAAAACAAAGTGGAAAATTATATTAAAATCAATAAATACTCTATAATTTATGATATATAAGAATTTAGACTCTTTGATACTGGCATCTGTCATTTTTACATTCACAATGGCACTCTTTAAAATGCACAATTTAATTGGACTATGACATTGTAAGCAAAAATATGGTTTGTTAAGAGGGAAATCTGAATAAACCGCTCAGAACTACGTTTTGCTCAAGGTGAACTCACTCTGAGGTACACCTAATTACCAAGGGAAAGAAAGTCTGGACTAATCAGAGAGCATTAAAATTCCTGATTACTTAATCAAGGAAGATGCTAGATCTGTTCACTTAATATCCTGAATATCCTTTTGTTGACAGACACCAAGCTTGGTGTGCTGATACCATGTACCTTGTAAGAAGGCAATCCCTATTGATATTGGAGTCTCAGAGTTTAAGGTCAAAAGTCAAACAACTTTTGTCTGCCAATATCTTGTGAATTCCTTTGCGTAACAGACATCATCTTGGTACACTGGCACCCCCTAAGGAGTACAATTGGTGTTAGTCATGATTGATACTCAAATGAATTTAAAAGTGGATCTCATGTTCAATATTGACATACTGAGGCCATGTATATTTCTAAAACATTTCTTGTTTCACTTACAGCACAGAGACATGAACTGCAAAAGAGACACAAAGAATTACTACAGAGTTGTCAGATGAAGCCCCACAATTTACCCATCGTGGAGGCTCAAATTGAGAGAGAAAAGGAGGTATGTTAACTGCAAATTGATTAAAAATTTTTAATGACTTTATTCCGAAAAAAAAAAAAAATAATAATACTCTGCTTGAAATAATCCAGGTATTCACTTATTGATTGGTATATCCAAGTCTTAGAAAGTGTATTCAATTTTGTCTAGCTTGCTTAAGTTTATTGAGCCCTTAATTTATTTGTATTTATTATTTGAGCCATTTTGAGCTAAAACAAATGTTAAGACAGTTTAGAGAATGTTTGTAACTGAATACTAAAGATTGATTCAGAACTTTTTTATGGCTTTATTCAATAAAATAATAATACACTGTACTTGAAATAATCCAGGTGCTCACTCATTGATTGATATGTCCCAGTCATAGAAATGAATTCAATTTGTTGACTTACTTTAGTTTATTGAACCCTTTAGGTGTGTTGTCCCTCTGATAAGAGAGACAACTTTCCAATGAAATCCAATGAATTGTCCTACTAATCAAATCAAGTGAATCCGAAGTATGTTACAAATATTGCTTTTTATTTTCTGTTGCCAGTTTTTAATAATTCCTTATAATAGTTTACCTAAAACATGTGCACTAAGTTCCTTTAGACTGTTAAAATTGAAATATTTCTATCTCTTAACATATAATTCTTTTAATTGTTAGAGGAATTTAACATGTATCAGATGCAGAATTTTCATAATCTTTTTTTTTTCTCTTAAAAAATAATTTAAAGAAAGATAACTCCTGAAGATGGAAAGATAACTCTTGTAGATGGATACATTTTTATTTTACAAGCACAGAAAACAATGTGATATTCTGACTTAAAAAGCAACACTTCCTTATGTTTTCTAAAATGAATTAAATAGTAATGACAGTAAATATTATTTATATATACCTCAAATTTAAACTATTTTCCATATGAATCTAACAATATTATTTTTGGTGAAAATCAATGTAGGAAAGAAGAAGGTACGGTTTGGGCTTTATTGTGCCCTAAAAAAATTTAATGTTCTTAAAATGTTATGGAATTGGATAAAATATAAGATGAGTAGAGGAATGTGATAAATCTTGAAAGAATATGGTATAAAGGAGGACCATTGTGGAAATATGACGTCATAAATGTGTTACATTTCTACATTTTAAACAGAAAAAGCCTCAAAATGACTCATTTCTGGGATTATTTTCCTTAAGAAAATAGTGTCCACAGCTGTCGCCCACTGCCATTTTTAGATATGTTGTGTAAAATCGTTTTAAAAATCAGATATATTTATTTCTTTGTGGGCAGTGCATGTGCTCTATATTATTTTGTAGAAAATTCTACTGAAAATTGATGTCTTCTGCTACTTTTTAAGAAAATACAGGAAAATGCACAAGTTCATGACATCACAATTAGCATTTAGGAGGCCATATGAGAAAAACGATATGCATCTTCTTACTGCATGGAATTTCAATAATCCAGAAAGCATGAGTTTTATTTTCTTACATATCTTTCATATTTAAGAAAAAAATAGGGCACAATTTGTATTGAAACCGTACCTTGTTCTTTAAAAAAAATGATGAAATTTAGAGCAGAGGGATATTTCACCTTATACATGTACATGTATTAAATTGTATTAAATGATCATTTCAGCCATTTTGCTAATGTTAAGATAGTTTAGATAATATTACATGTAGTAACTGAATACGTTAACAATATTACATCTCTAATTTGTTACTTGTAAAAGTTGTGTAATGTGCGAAAATAGCAGAGCCACAATTATCTATAATAATTAACTAAATGATATAATAAAAGCATCTAATGATATAATAAAAGCATTTGCATACAGTGTAAAATTGGCTTTGTTCAAATCTTTCCCTCCTGTTTAGGGTGGAGCCACAATATGGGGGTAAAAATTTACCTGTGAATGCATATATAAAATCTTAAGAATTACAGTGTTAAACATAGTCATATTCACATGCAAAAAAATGTTATATAGGTAGATTCAAGTCTGTACAAGTTATGTCTCCAAGGCTTGGATTCGGTTGCAGTAGAGACTCAAAGTTATCTAAAGTTGAAGTAAAAGTTGTAGGCCTTTCATATGGGACCTTAAAAACAGAGACATCTTGTCATGGCAAGCTTTGGCATGATATGATAAAGATTCCTCACTATTCAATGGCCCAGAGTGCTGAGTGAAGGTCTAAATTTGAAGCCCTTCACCAGTATTTGGTGACAACTATGAGTGAAAAATTCTTGAAAGGAATGTAAAACAATATACAATCAATCAATCAATCAGTCTAACATCTAGCAAATGAAGTGTTAAATGTTTATAATGTTTATAATAAAGATTTTTTCCTGTATCAACATGATAAAATTTATGACCTTACACCCTGAAGTACATGGTTCATGCCCCAGAGAGGGTCAATCAGTCAAAGCACACATCTGAAAACTATTTGTTTGGACAATTCAAAATCAATTTTTTTGATTGTAATTAACACTTTGTTCTCTACAAAAACTGTGTTGCTTGAACAAAATCAGTAATACAGGGTGTTTCAGCAAACATGTCCTGACTTTGCGGTTTCAATATAAAGTTAGACAGTATTAATGTAAGAAAATTTTTGCAAAAATGAAAACCACATAATAAAACAATTCTATCAATATGAAAGTTGAAGGGATGCCGAATCAATTACTTTTTAAGACAGTCATTTTTAAAGTTTGAACTTCAGCATCAGTTTTCAATTTAACGTCATTTTTTATGTGTTCGAAAAAGCTTCAATGTTTTTAAGTCAGCATCCTAATTTTGTCTCTGAAGTCCTGTATGGTATATATTTTGACATCATTTGAAAAGTCTGTTTCCTAGAAAGATGGTTTTCGTATGAGCTCTTCTCTTTTCAAAATCTTATGCCCTAGTATTGGTAATTTTTGGAGATTTTCTATTTGTGTTGATTAGTTCAAAACATCCCATGGAACCATTTTTGGAGGAAAAAAACCGACAACCTGATGTAATCAAAACTTCAATAGGAAAAAAATAATGAAGTTATTTTATATTGCTTATATCACAATTATATTGCCAGAAAATGCGCTATAAAATACAGTTATAGTTTTGTAAATATTTTCTTAGTGTGCGAAAATATAGACATCAAAAGTTGGGACATATTTGTTGAAACACCCTGTACTTTTACTAAAATTTTAAATTAATTATCCCAGGTTTATATTCCAAAAAGGTGTTATGTTTTTGGAGTTTTTCTCTTTTTGTCTCTTGTCTCAAGAGCATCTTGCAGGAAAACTGTTCATCTAAGCCCTTAACCTGAATTTCAATATCGTGGCCTATGGTTCTGTGCTAGGTGGGGATTAAGGGGGCCATATATTGAATATATTAGACCAATGGAGTTCTTTTGTTTGTTTTACCTAATGAATATCTAGCAGACAAATAAATGAGCAAATTTATTTTTAAAAAATATTTTTGAAAATCTTGTAACCTAGATACAGAAATCATTTGTCCTTTTCACATGTATTTGAAACATGTTTTGCTAGAGCTGAGCTGAAGATTGGGACTTTGGTCATTGTAAAATTATTTTAAAATGCAGTTTATCTTTGAAATTCTTCCCCTAAGAAATAAGGAACATTTTCCTACTTGTAAATAGTTGATAGATAAGTGAATAAAAAGTCCTCAATACATTGTTAATTCATGTTGCAGAGCTCCATAATTAATCATATGAATTAATCATATTTGTAGGGATTTTCTGTGGATATAGACATTTACATTGATTGATATAGCAATTTTCTGCAAATGCTTAATAGATATCTGATGTTTATTTTAGGTCTTTATTCATTAATATAGCTTATAAGCATCCATGGATGCTTTTTTTCAGACAATGGAGAAGAGATGTGAAGAAGAGGTTAAAAAGAAGGACATGAAGATAATCATGGAGCTGGATCAGAAGGTTATGGATCAGCAGGTCATGTTAGAGAAGGCGGGAGTGCCAGGGTTCTATGTCACCAACAAGAGCATTGATGTAAGATTACAGATGTATCTACTGGAGTTTATCACCAGAATGGGACATATGCAGCCACCTTGAAGCAGGGCATTAGGTGGTTTTGTTTTGTTTAAGTTCAAGAAATCTTTTCATAAATTTAGAATCTGAAGATTGATGAATTATGAGTTACAGAAAAATCAAAGGTTGCTACAACATACATGGAACATTAATCCATAAAAACATCCTTGATGATCTTTTTTGAGCAAGAAATATATAAGTTCACCTTAGCCAAGGGCTTAAGTGAGGTTATTTGATCAAAATTTGAAGCTGTCATCTCTCTGCTTTTCACATCTTGACCTGTTGTACAGAAACCACTTTGCCAATTTCAAGCAAAATAGCATAAAGATCCTAGGGGAAGTGGATTCAAGTTTCTACAAGTGGAGAGAAATTCATCTTCCAAGTTTAAATGCTCAACGAATAGTGAAATTATGATGGCGTCATTTAAAATTCTCAAGAACCACTGAGCCAGAAGTGAAAAATAACATGTGAAAGCTTCCTCATATAATGAAGAAATTATAGACCTTGAGGTGTTGGCTAAGCTAAGATGACAATTGGGATTTACAAAACTTTATAAGAAAACAGAGGACAGAATCTTTTATCAAGCACAACTTGGCTACATTTTCTCATATTGTTATGCAAGCTTAGATTATTCAAGTTGTTGTCCTTGAGGCAATGGGAAATAGACATTTTATATGGGAATAAATAGGAATAAAATAGAACACAAGTTCAGGTGAGTGTTGTGGCACATGGGCTTTTTGTTTAGACAGTACTTAATTCAAAGAAATCAATTCATCTAAAGTGAAAATAATTTTCAAGCTTTTATTTTGACCATTTGAAAAATAGATGATCAAGAATGGTGTAATCAGCTAGGATTTGTTTGTTTTGTCATTAATTTTCTAATCTAGATTGTGGAATGGAGTGCTAGGTTTGTGATATATTACTTCATAATGTGACACACTGTCTATGTTGTATCTACATGTACATGTTATCTAGTCAAATGAAATTTTCAAAAATATAATTTTATTTTTTGTACAACATATGTGGAAAATGTTTTGATAGCTATGCTTGGATTAAAACATGGAAACTTTTAATTAAGTAAATTAAGAACTTGGTATAAGCTGATGCTTATCGTGTATTGTATCTAAATGTGCGTGTGTTCAGCAACAACTCTTTGTATTCCTGTTGTCTCAGTTGTTATTTGAAAGGATGTTAAATGAACTTTATTCTCTATCAATTTATATTGAATCTCAGACTGCCTGTGTACATGTATTTCTTTTATCAAAATGAAGGCAATAAATGTCAGAAATATTTTTTAATCTAAATGAATGAATTTTACCAATCGAGTAGAAACATTAGGTATGAGATGAAGTACATGAAGAAAAAAAAACCCATCGTAATAAATGTCTACACAAGCATTAAACTAACTACATTTATATATATGTAGTAAAATTTATGTACATTTCAATTCTACACAGTCATATAAAATTGATATGAAAATTGAATGCTTTATTAAATAAAGAAAAGAAAACACAGAATCATTGTTTTTATGCAACAAATAGCTATGGGAATGTTATAATTTCTGTCTAGAATATGGTATATAATTATAATATTATTGTTATAAAAATAATATCAAATCTGTTGATTATAAATTGTAATGTATGTCCTGTATCATCACTTGTAGTATATTGGCGATAATTTTAAAATGCAAAATAATAGCCCTCTACCAAGCAGAAACTTCTATATAATGAGCTTAAAATCTCGAACTGAATCATTGAAAATAATGCACTTTAGACAATCACAATTATAGAAGAGCTGTAAGTTACAGTGCAAAATGTTCAGGATTTTCATAAACTTTTTCACTTTCATGAAATTTAAAGATGTTTAATCTGTTGTGTCTTTATTGAAACCATGGATGTTGCTTGCTCTAATTCTGTGTAATTTCTTTGATACTAAAATAATATTGAATCTTTTAATAATTCCAAATGATGCGTCAGGAAATATTTTCAAAATAATAGCAAAAATATTAAGTTTATCAGTAATACACGACATAAGTAAGTTGCAAAAAGACTAAGCACGATGAACTCGTTCTAATTCACTTTCTTATTTTAAAAATTAATTGTGTAAATTGCGTACCATGTACCAATAATACAGCAGATCGTCACGAACTATTTGGTGTTTCTCATGCTTTGTTGGGGGCACATAATTTGGACAAATTCTTCTGTTGGTTGTCAGTTCTGCAACTGTTCTTTCGCTTAAGAAAAAATGCTCATCTTCCTCAGTGATATTTATATCTTTACAAGGGTATCCGACCTCATACAGAACTTGGTGATGAAATGTAGTGGTTATGTCCTTAATCATCTTTTCAATGTTTGATCTGTTCTCTTTGGTTTTGTCACTTGTCAGCTGGATTGCTTTATCTGGAGTAAACACTTGCAACTGAATGGACGTTTTGTTTACTGCAATAGCTATGTTTCGGTCACCACCTTTGTCTTTGTAAAAAGCAACATTTTTGCAGAGTAAGTCATCACTTAAGGGTTCCCACACAGAGAAGCACAAAGCCACAAGTCTAAAGAAAAAGAAATGTGGAATGTAAGTTTTGAAAGAAAAAGCTAAAACTGGCGTTTTGTTGACATTTTCCGTTATCGCCCTGCATTCTTTCGTGAAGTCAGTTTTATTAATGCTAGGAATGTAGTAAACAGGTCTCATTTTTATTGTTCCAATCTCCTTGTCAGCAGTTTCTTGTGTTCGCACTATAGCAAGAATGCCCAGTTTTTCCATATAGGGTACAATAATGTCTTTTTGAGTAACATACGAAGAATTTTCTCCCCATATCTTGACAAGTGTTAGATCAGAAATTCTTCCAGTTTTCATGAATATCTCCCATTCCTTGACTCTTTCGCAAAATGGTTCAGCATGAGTTGGGTCAGTTATGATATTTTTAAAAGCATCTACAAACCACTGGACGTCAATGATAATATTTTCCTTAAGACCTTCTTCGGCAAAATAAATAATTAGACCTATCTCTTTAAAATATCTGAGCATGTCGTCTACCTTAAATTCATGTAATGTTTTAAATTCCTTCTTGCTTAGTAGTTCCTTTCTGCTTAGAATTTCCATCTTCTTTTCCTTGTTTTTTCTAACTAACTGTTCAAATACTGTCCAAATTGATGGTAATTTTTCACCCCAATGAGGTAGGCTTCGTGCAGTTCTAACAATACATTTTCTGACATTTTCTATCTTTTCTGCTTGGTGTTCATTCAATCTTTGCTGTGGACATTCTATTTCATAGTAACGTTTCCGCGAAATATGACCTTTCAATGTGTGTTCCTCTGGTAAACACTTCTCTAATTTGTTATAAAAAGATTGAACACTGTCCATTCTTGGTTTCTCCTGTTGTAATAAATAAATGCGAATTAAACAAAAACAGTCTATATGCAATTTTAGTTAAAATCATTACGTGGGTTATATATCCATAAAGTTCTTGGATAAATGTTATCATTTTATGTACCAAACTACCCAACGTGCAAGATAACATTTTAATATAGACCAATATTCAGTAAATGTATAAAATTTAAAACAATTTACCTTATTCTACAAAAGTTATAGGTGTAAATACTTTTTTATATGCAAGCCGCACGACTAAGTCCGACGTAAAGCAAGTTTTAATGATAACGTCAGAAATATGGATTTTGGAATTTTTTTTCACATGTTCATAGACACACGCTATTTTTACGATTTGATGGTATCAACTCATGTTATGTGACTTGTAAGGGATTCCCCAATGTATCGAAACTAATCACATTTTCATTTGAGTATTTTGCGAACGGGTTCTTGTATAATATTGGTTTATTTACAGTTTTCATAATCTACAGAACAAGAATACGTTTCCTGATATGCGTTGAAGTGTTTATAAACATAAATATTTATTATTAATTTTACTGGAATTTGTATCCATCCGCAAAAGAAAATAGTGTTAGGGACATGCGATCAACGAAAGTGACATGCCGTGCAAACAAAATTTTGATTTATAAATAAATAAATGTTTTATCTAATAAGAAGTATTTTGAAAACAGATTTTTAAAGAAAATTCACAAAATTGAACATTGTACAAACCAGGTTATTCTTAAAAGATTGACGTGCTGGTGGTGTATAAATAAACTAATTCTTGCGCTGTTATGCTAATGAACAGCTAGAGCAGTTTTCCCGCGTAAGTGATGAATCATTCAACACAGAGAACACTGCCTATGTTTGTAAACAAAGCGAGGAGTTTGCAGTAAAGAAGGTCGAAGTAAATCAACTACTAATCTCAAACGGAAGAAATGAGCTGTACCAGTAAAATTAAAGTTCTTATTTCTTGTGCAAGCAGTAAAAGATTTCGATTGCTTCAAGGGTCAGAATTTTTCAGCAGCGGACAACTTTGTGCTCCAATTTCTTTTTCCCTGTTTTAAAAACACTGTCTTCCACAATCTAGATTTGTTTCAGAGCAAGCTTTATATACAGCAATGGTCACTTAACATGCCTATGATTCTTATCTCATTAATTGTCGGCACTACACTGGCAAGTGGTTTCCTTTAATATGTCCAGCTGTGTTTTGCTATCAGATGGTGGCCATGTTATAAAGTGAATTAATAGTACTGAGGGCAATAAATAAAAACAAAAACAAAAAGAAGTAACTTGGGTGTTATTGATAAATTAAATGTGAAATGCATATTTATAAATGTGAAGAGATCAAGAAATTAAATTAATTCAAGAGTAGTTAGATCATGTAAATAGTTGATATCATGCCATTGTGATTAATTTAAAATCTTAAATCGAAAAGCAGAAAGAATTTTTTCATCGTGCATACTTGTATCAATGAAAGTCAAGTAGTTGAATTTCAAGAAAGGCTAAACCGAGAAAAATGATATATAAAATGTGCATATCAATTTAAGTCAAGTAGTTATATTTCAAAGGTGACTAAACCAAATGAAATGACATATAAATTCAGTTAAATGTCAATTAGTTCAATTTCAAGAGTAGCGTAATCAAGAGAATTAAAATATTTATTGTGCATATCAATGATCATAAAAGACAGGGGTTTGAATTTCAAGAGTGGCTAAATCAAGAGAATTGAAATATCAGATGTGCATGTAAATGTTGAAAGACAAGGATTTGAATTTCAATAGTAACTAAATCAAGAAAATTGAATCATGTAGTATACATATAAATGAAAGTAAAAGATATGAATTTTAAGACTGGCTTAATCACGAGAATTGGAATATATTGATGTGCATTGTAAATGTCAAATTGTTTGTCAATTTAAGAAAGCAGTGAAAATATCCAATGAGCATGTTAATGAAATAATTCAGTTTGCGTTATTTGTAAATAATAATTCCCTACTTGTAATACTATTGTAGGTTTGGCCTATTAATTTGAGATATGTGTGTTTAAAACTTTTTCTTGTTTTTTGTCTTAGGCTACTTAGTTGTTTTACTTCTGTAATATGATTTTACAACTGTTGTGTACGGAAGCCCAATAGTGCAAACCAAAAAATAAGAAAAAAAAAAAACGAAATTATTATATAAAGAAAACGAAATTATTAAATAAAAAACGAAATTATTAAATAAAAAACGGAATTATTAAATAAAGAAAACGAAATTACTTAAAAAAGAAACAAACGAAATTATTGAATAAAGAAAACGAAATTATTAAATAAAGAAAACGAAATTAATAAATAAAAGGGAAACGAAATTATTAGATAAAGAAAACGAAATTATTAAATAAAGGAAACGAAATTATTAAATAAAAGACAAATGAAATTATTAAATAAAGAAAACGAAATTATTAAATAAAGAAAACGAAATTACTAAATAAAAAACTGAAACTGAAATACGGAATTTATAGATGTGCATGGTAATGGCCTGAACCCATGAATCATTCCATAAAGCGCACGTGTTATAAAGCATCACTTAGTAATAGACCTGATTTTGTTTCGACATTGAAACAAGTGTGGGGGAAATGAAAAAAAAAACTTAGATAAATGTCAAATTGACAAACGTAGAAAAACATGTGCTCACAGCCTATAATTCGCATTTGTAAAGTAAATGATTAATAACTGTTCAATTTTGTTTACGGGAATTTGATGCTGTGTCGCATCCCCACAACGTCAAAGTTTGAGCCTGTAAGCCTGGACGTAGCGAGGATGGCTGTTTCTGCTTACATAAAATTAATGACATTCCAAAAGAGCTAATGAATCGCTGAAAGGTCAAGGCCTTGCGTATCGTATCGCTGAATTCCCCCCGAACTAAACCTAGGGCCCTATCTGTGTACCCATAAATCTTAGGTTGTTGAAACAATAAAGAGAATGATTTGAATACTTGTTGGATTTGTTATGCAAGTGTGTGCATTGTTTGTTCACAACTATCACTGACTTATAAATACAGATTGAGAATTTGTCATTTAGAATATGTGAGAACAAATAGTTAGTGCATCACTTCTAATTATGCTTTGATAAATGAACAAGAAATCACAGGCGCTCCCCATGTAATTCTGTAAATGACGAATGATAAGTATATATATATATATATATATATATATATATATATATATATATATATATATATATATATATATATATATATATATATATATATATATAGGTCTACCCCTCAATACTATAAAATCAACCTTGTTGGTTTTATAGTATTGAGGGGTAGACCTATATATATATATATATATACTTATCATTCGTCATTTACAGAATTACATGGGGAGCGCCTGAGCAAGAAATTAGAGGTGTTTTGCTTAATTTTTAATAAAGTAAGCAATCATTAAAATCTACTCATTGTAACAACTTTGTCTTGTTTAATTTTTGCACTTGCTCTCTTTAAACAATAATTTATAATGGGCTCCGATCGGTAACGTATCATTTTACAGCATTTTTTGTACTGTGCTATAATTGAAAAAAGATGTATAACCATGGGAATTTCCTAAATGTTATAAGGTTCAGCAGTTGTAAACAACGGAATCTTAACAGACATGTATATCTTAAATATTTGTGCAATTTATTAGCATAATCTCTTTGATGTTTCATGTCCAGATTCATTGTTTGCTAATAATTAGACCTTCTGAGTTGAGGGTTTAAGAAAGCTAATACTAACGTAAACTTGTCATCACTGGCCAATTCATCAGACTGGTCAAATTAAGTTCACATTAATCATGTTAAGGTAAGATAAAAACATAGATCTAAACATATTGGATAACCAAAGGTAAATTCTCCCCTATTTATCTATTATGATTGTCTACTCCAACTGGTCATGTTATCGATACTAGAATAGCTGAGTGTAAATGCAAATATCACACTTGTTTTAATGTCGAAACAAAATCAGGTCATAGAACACGTGTGCTTTATGGAATGATTCATGGGTTCAGGCCCTTACCATGCACATCTATAAATTCCGTATTTTAGTTTCAGTTTTTTATTTAATAATTTCGTTTTCTTTATTTAATAATTTCGTTTTCTTAATTTAATAATTTCGTTTTCTTTATTTAATAATTTCGTTTGCTTTTTATTTAATAATTTCGTTTTCTTTATTTAATAATTTCGTTTTTCTTTATTTAATAATTTCGTTTTCTTTATTTAATAATTTCGTTTTTCTTTATTTATTTTTGGTTTGCACTATTGGGCTTCCGTAGTTGTGCCATTTTTCAATATTTTAAATTTCTAGTCACTTGATATGTAATATTTCTGTCAAATGATATCGAGTGCTCAAAAACTGTTCTCGTTAGTTTTAATGATGATAGTCTCTGCTCTGTGACTATTTCAATGATGGTATCCTTTAATATTTTGTAAAAATACAAATTACTTTAAATGCAAGCTACATTGTCATTTTACGAAAAATCCCAAAACTAACTAAGTATTATTTGTTTTCTATGTTTAAAGGTTCGATTTGTGATAAATTATCATACATTCCAGTAGATATTAAAATAAATAAATATACATTTTTTAAAAAAAAATACATGATGGAAAAGGTGTAAATAAAATGATATAATTTTATTTCTCAAAGAAAACAAAAAGAAAAGATTTTAAAGTGATAGTTTTCATTATTGCACATAATATCGCATAAACTAAATATGGATAAGGGACCTCAACTCATTTAAACATTATTTATATAATCAATACCATCAACTCGTAGTAGTACTTTCAGTACTTTGATTCCTTATTATGCCACACTGCAAAGTGTGTGCTTAATGATACTTAAACGCCATAACTGAGTTAATTTTTGAAATTCAAAACAATACACAATAATTTACGAGTCATCAGTTTACACACTTTGAATACACAGGATGCGCAGCCCTGTCAAACTTTGCGCTATTTTCATCAAATAACATTGGTAGTCAATTTCTTGTTC